GAATTAGTTTTTCAGTGGATSTCTAGGCCAGTGAAGTAGCTTGGCCATGTTTGTCACTGCACATTGAGTAAGGAATGGCACTGTTCCCTGCCTTCTCCACCCTTTCACCTCTGAGCACTCACTGGTGGGTGCTGGCTGCTCTGGCACCATGCTCAGTATTTTGCTGAAGCRCACAGGGTGCTGCAGTCAGTGCCTCCCTGTCAAACACTCAGAGCTGCAAAGTTGGCATTTCAATTCTCTGGAGTTCCTGTCTGCACAGTGCCCTCTACTTTTGGGTGGGTTTGCAGGCAGCGTTTATCTCTGTGATGATTTTTTGTTTCATGAGTTATGCACAAAAATCAAAGAAGCAGAGCTGGATGTGAAATGGTTGCTGTAAAGTCTCGCTTTGTGTCTACACTTTATGATTTTGTTACAAAATGAGTGGCTTACCCTAGAGCTCTCTGGCTTTAGCAAGCTGCTGGGCACTTGCTCAGTTTTAGGTATTTTCTTTCAGGTGGTTCAGTCTGGAGTTTCTCAATGTGTTCTTCAGCCAGGGGGTGTCGGGTTGTTTTTCCTACAGGATAGTTTGTGCATTTGTACAGAAAATAGGACAACCACATTTTTTGTAACGCCAAAGAAATGAATGGTGAAATGTGACTTTCAGAGTCTCCATCAGGAAGTTTGTACTTCCCAGCATATCTCAGAAAAGTGTTGCTTTTTTAGCCCTTGTTGATCATAGTGGAATTATTCAACCAATACCAACAAAAATGATTTAAAAAATGGCAGCTAACAAAATATTTCTGCTTAAAAATTGCTGCCTTGGTGATGTGTAGTGTGTAATTAATTTTTTTAAAAAATACAATTAAAAAATTAAGAAACAGCTCAGCAAATATATATTCAAATTTGTAGACAGTGAAATTTATTYTTTTACATTTATGGCAACTCTTAAAGTTGTATGACAAACAATTTCATCAAAAGCAGTTTTTGTYCCATAGGATTCTTTGCTGCAGTTCTGGATTCCGATGAAATGAATGTGAGGCTCAGCTTTTCAGTTTTGCCTTGTGATGTTTGATGTCCCAATTAAATAAATAATCTATTAAATAAATAAATAAATAAAATATCAAATAATAATAATAAATAATAATAAAAAATAAAATAGGGTTTTTTTATAATTTTATTCCTAATGCAACTCCTGCAGTCGTTTCCCTGGAATGTGAAGTTATTTCTATTTTATGTTTTGTTTTGTTTTTTTAACAAGGCCTATTTGTCTTTGAGAAGACCCTGTACCTTGATTCCTTTTCATATTAGGAATTTAAAAGACACATTCCAGAAYAGCATCTGGCTTTATTTTAAAATAGGTGTTTTCACTCAAATATCTTAATTTATCTTTATTTATTTAGAAAATAAAAATACATGCCTTCAGTTGAAATGCAGTCCCATGTGTAAACAGCATTTCAGTTCTTATCTTTTTTTAAAACTTGTGATGAGCCTTACCTAAGATCTGAAACAATTGATACTGTTCTGAAATACTGAAAAGCTTGGTTTGGGAGGCTGTTCTTTTGTAATTTGCTTTTGTTTTTTCCAAGTATCACAGCTTAGTCCAATGAATCAGTGGAATAGCACTGGTCTGAGGCTTGAGATCTGGATGAAAATTCTGTCTGCACAAGCTGTGCATTGGGCTCCAGTGTAGCAGATACTTTCAGGATTGCACCAGTGACAATATTTTAATACAACTTTCCTGTCCATTCCTGCTGACATTTCTGGGTTTAGTTTGAATAAAGTACTAGAGCTGTAACCAGAGTTAACAATTCTGTACTACAATATTTCAGTTAAATTGCAGGTTATTAAATAAAGCAAGCCAATTTCTGATCTTACTTAATGTACATTTCCAGTAATTCAGGATCTGATGTCAACAAAAAAAATGGTTTAGATAGTGCAAAGAAGTAAAGTAATCAGATTATTTTTCAGGAAATATATAGTGTTTATTTCAAAGTATTTTAACGTGGTACAGAGGTAGCAGAAGGATCTGCAGTTTGCAGGTGGTGTTTTGGGTCAGGTGGACAGAATTCTGTTTCTGGTGCAGGCTTTGGATCTTGGCTGGGATGGACTGGGGGAATTACTCCTCTCTTGCTGGGTGTGCAGTTCTCCTGCAGTTCTCTGCCTGTCTCCTTCCCCTCAGGAGCTGGTATCTTCTCTGATATCACCATCCCCTAATTCTTCTGAGTGTCTCCCGGCTCGGGTTGTTCTGGCAGAGATCTCCCAGGGACAGCACACAGGACAAGCAGAGCCCGTGGCAGATCCTTATGGGAATCCCAAGAGCTGGCTTTGTGCTCTGCAAATCTTCAGCCTCTCTCTACACCAGCTTTTCACCCCTTTCACAGGGCAGATCACACCACTTTSACCAGCAGCTGTCCAGTTGGTTTTCTGGGCATTTCCAGTTGGGCAGGTCMCGTTCCAGACCAGAGCAGGGCCAGTGCTGGTGAGCTGTCATTATCAGCATGGGGATGAAGGAACTGAAGCAGGATTCACACAAGTCATGCATGCAGTCTCTGGCACGTGGAATTTAAATTAATCTGTGTTTTAAAYCTAATTGTGAACAATCTGGGCAATATGTATGTGTATCTCTAGAGCTTTAAAGAGTGAGCCCTTACACATGGGTGGAACTTTAGGGACAGGAGTATCCCCTTTGTCTCTGGCTGTGAACTCATTCGTTCCAAACAGTCCTGTTTTCCTGGTGATGATGTTTGTGGAAGAGGGGATGTATTTAGCCCCAGCAATATGTATGGCTTGGCTGAGGCTGCCTTTCCCCATTCTGGATCCCTTTGAGCATTAACGCTGCTGCTGTGTCTGAGCCGGCCGTGTTTATGCAAACTCCTYGCAGTGCTGTAGGTTTGCAAAACCACTTAGGGGCAGTTAATGGAGACTTGTGATTCATGGGGAAGAGAACCGATGTCATTTGCCAAAAACCACCCCAGCCAACGTAGAGGTTTCTTTATCCTGGATTACAGTGACATAAGCCTCTAGAGAAAATTCAATAGCTCTAGCCAGGGGTTGAATGGAGAGCAGTCAAGAGCAATGAAAAGGAAAACCCTTGCTTTTTGCTGCTGTTGATGAATTTCTGATCGCACAAAGCAGCACACACAGGGAATCCCCAAACAGACTGGTGGAGGCCAGGAGCTGACCCATKAAATTAAATTTCTCCTGTATCAGAACTCCATGATCTCAGGAAGCTGTGTTACGTGTCCCTGCGCTTCTGCAGTGGGTCACCATGTGTTTGTTTCACATGATGAACTGTGTTGAGCATTCAGCAAATAACATGATTTGTGGGTAAAGTTAAGGGTGGGTGAGGTGCAGCAGTGTTGTCATATTGTCCAAATGCATTGATTTGAATTGATACAATCCACACCAGCCTTGGCTTCCAAGCAATACTTTAGCTGGGTTCTTCCTGGGGACATCAGTCCAGCTGGRTCTGAGCCCCACCATCCTTTTGGGTGTGCCACTGCATCAAGTTTTTATTGCCAGTTTAGYTTACACATGCATGAGTTACACATCAAGAAAAAAATAGAATAGTGCTTTTAAAAGGCTCAGTGAACAAAAAAAACCACCATCTCACTGAAAACGATTTTCCTTAGCATTTGTCCTCTAAGTACTATTTGAATATTAGGGCAAAACGTGATTTTTCTCAATTCTCTGCTCTAAACTTTTTTTTATTTTTTTTTTTTTTTTGCCTGAGAAGTGACATTTATTTATTTTGCTGAAAAAACAAGCTATTCTTAGTTTTTTCTCTTTCTGAATGCCACCCTTAGCTGAGGTGTGCTACAGTGTGCTATGCCAACAATTTGCAAAAATTTGTTAGTCATCCTAAATGAAATTAAGATAGGACCAATATATTTGGAGAGCTAGGTCTCTCCCCAGCTCATTCTGTTGCCTTTCTACAATAGAATTTGGTCTTTTTGGTTTTTTTTTTGTTTTTTTTTTACTTAGAGGTGCTGTCCTCAGCTTCAGCACAAATTGGTTTACAGTGAAGAATTCACTGATAGGAGAACATCTGAGATGTGAAAGTGTTTAGGTATAGTCACAGTGAAGGATGTAGCAGGGTGTTTCTCTTGAAGTTTCAGTCTAAAGGAGCAGAGCCAGTGGCTCCCTCACTTACAAAGATGCCAATTTGGAATTTTTAATGAGATCCTCCCTTTGTGTGAGTCTGGGAGAGTTTGGTTTGGGAACAGTCACTTGTCCAGTTCAAAGCTGGTCATGCAAAACATCCCTGACTCACTTTGTGACCAACGAGTGGTGAACCCAGTGGTTCATAAAACCCTAAAAAACAGAACTCCCCCCCCAAAAAAAAAGCTTCTCTGTAGCTCTCTGGGACTTGCATTGTGGTGGATGTGTTGAAGTTAAATCATACACAGATAAATGCTGGAGCAAATATCAAGGGGTCAGGATGCTTGCAGGAAGCAAAAAGTGCTGATGAATCCTCCTCCTCAGCTGTGGTACAGACATGGAGAGAAGTAGAGACCGAGTGGGCACAAACCTGGAATTTTCCCCAGGAGAGTACCTGGGTGGAGCCCCAGCCCAAGCAGGATTTGAGGAATACCTTGTGGTGTGTTCCCAGAAAAGTCTGGCAGGAACTGTTCAGTCTGTGAGAAAAGTGGCTGAGAAAAATCTGTCTTAAATTCCTGGAGTTTCTGTAATAACGAAAGAGTGCATTTTTGGAAGCCATCAGCTATGGRAGAACTTGAGAATGTTGGTTACAAAGGTTCAAATATTAAATTATGAATGAAACAAACCTCTGTGTGGTTTATGAAATTGCTCTTGGTTCATGACTTGAATAGTTTGAAGTGGTAAATGATACTGCAAGAAATTGTGACTTTTATTCTGGTTGGTATGTTTAAAACCATAAATATTTATTAAAAAATTTATTCCCTTTTACAAAACATTTTCTTTTTTTAAGTCCCCTGTAATATGGTTTTTGWTTCTGATGGATTTTGTTCCAGTCACTGATGGTATTTTTTGTTTTTCAGTTACACCAGCAGAGTTGTTTCCAATGGACTGAAGGCACAAGTTAATAATCCAGAACTGAAAGTCAAAGGGTTGGACCCACTCATCAACAATTTAATTGAGAAACTTCAGCACTTTAATCAAGTAAGTAATTTTCCAAGAGAAAAACGTTTTACMATGCAGCTAAAGGTAAAATCTGTAGGTGCTCCTGACAACTTCCAGAGTTGAATTCCCAATCCTCTGCCCCAGCACAGCTCTCTGGGAGCTCTAAAGCAGCACAGTCCAAAGGAGCTGGAGCGAGCAGATTGAGCAGAGATTGATTTTCATKTAGAGCAGACGTGTTTCCTTGTCAGCCTGCAAGAGTGTTCACAGCAGAGGTGTTTGCACATCACCTGCTCATCGTCTTTCAGCATTCAAGAGCAGYGCAGCACAGGGATGGAAATGGCAGAAAACCCTCCCTGGTGGGTTCAGKGTGCAGGGAGAGCAAAGTCTGCACAGGTGAAACGGGGAGGAGTTGCTCAGTCAGGATATGGGAGGTTGTTCAGGCTATGGCTGGAGTCAGGGATTCATCTCCTTTCTCCTAGAAAAGTGCAATCCTCCCTTACCTCTCATCAGCCAGCGATGCTAAATCCATAGTCTAAGCAGTAATTACTGTTTTTGTTCAGTCTTGCTTGGCTCTAATGTTCTTCTCCTGTTCTGGAGACTGCAGTTTAGAGATTCTTTGTGTCACACTGTTTGATTTAAGTCACCGTGGGGGATTACAACAACCAGTTTGGTGCAGTACTTAATATTACAGTGAAATAGGCATTATGTGGTCAGATTGATGAAAAGGATAATTCATTATTTATCTGTCTTTGCATGTTGTAAAGTGGAGTGTTAATTTACTTTATAAATATTAGATATATCCATCTGTGTAATAGTCCTCTATAAACACTGACAATAGGAAATAGTTATAAATAGATTAAATTAATAGTAGTTGTGTGTTGGAAATCCTGTTTCTTTGTCTGCTGTAGAGGAACAAAAATCTGCATGGTCTGAGCTGCATACCAATTTTCTTAAGTTACATGCATTTTAAAAACAGTTTTAAAAAGCACTTTTTAGCCAGAAAAATAAAATCCAACTCTTGGCTCTTTCTGTAAGTTGGAAGTGTTGCTCTCTGGTACTTGGAACTCTGTTTTAGGAGAATATCATCATTAAGTAATTGTAACTCCCATCAGATTKAGGTGCTTAGCAATAATGGATTCCAAGGGTGAAGGATTAAACAGAATACTGATTATTGCCCTAAGATGGTTCGTTCTTAAGTACTTAGAATAATATAAAATCCTTTGATCATAATTTTAGTAAGATTTCTTTGGAGATCAAAGCATCAAAGAAGTTGCTAAATATCTAAGGCTTTCACATACAACATCAAACACGTGTAGCTGTTTTCTACTTCTTGGATTTTCRTTTCAGTTGTGATATTATAATACAAATAAAAACTGACACTGGAAAGCCGATTAAATCAGGAGTTGAAAGTATCATCTATAGTGTGTGTAGACTGTAGAGTTAGATGGACTTCCATTACTAATTTTATGGACAAACGGGGGTTTTTAAAATCAAAATATTTTGGGKKTTTTTTTTAGCAAYGTGTAAGGTGAAATTTAAATACTGCTAAAATAAGGTGTCGTCTTTGTGAAGTGCTTCACGTGTGCAGCAGTGTCTGGAGCACACAGAAGCAATCCCATAGGGGCAGGAAAGTTGAGGAACAGAGAGCAAAGCAATGCCCAGGATGTGCATCATGTGGCAGATTGGATGTGTCTGCGCCCCAGCAACTTCTGCCACCTCAGTCATGTTGTTAAACTACCCAGAAGAAAGCACATCCTTGAGTAGGAGAAAGGTGTGATGAGATTTTTTTTAAAGGAATAACATTTCTGTCTCAAGAAAAGAAGCTCCAGCCATGCTGCATTGGTCCCTCAGGGGGCCTGTTCCTGTTGGCTCTCGTTCTCTCTGGTTTGCAGAGGTGTTTAGAATCTGAGTGACCTGCTGCTGGATCTGTGTGCTCAGGTTGGGCAGTGCTGTCAGCTCCAGCTCGCTTCAAATCAACATTTTCCTCAAAGATTTGCCTTAGYTCGGCAATTCTGAATGATTTCTGGAGCAAATCTCATCACTGCTGCCTGTGATAGATTCTCTTCCACCTTCTTCTTCCACTGCTGGAGCTCAGCTCCTCTTGCCAGCCAGGCAGAAGTGGCAAACTATTCCCTC